GGCCGCGCGCGTCCCTGGCGTTAGGGCCCGCGGGTGGCCCCCCGGGATGCGAGGGGGGTCCCTGGGGCTGGGAACCGAGGAAGGACACAGGGACCGACGGGTCTCCCTGAGGTTGGGAACTAAGGGTGACCCCCCGGGACGCAGGGACCGAGGGAGGTCGCTGGGGATGGGAACCAAGGGTAGCCCAAGGAACACGAATACTGATGGTGGTCCCTGAGGCTGGGAGCTGAAGGTGATCCCAGGGCAAGGAGGAACCAAGAGTGGTCCCAGGGACACAGGGACTGAGGGAGGTCACTGGAAGTGGGGCCTGAGGATAGCCTGAGAGACACAAGTACTGAGGGTGGTTCCAGGATGGGGTCCAAGAGAGGACACAGGGACTGAGAGCAGCCCCAGGGGTGGGGAGTAAGTGTGGCCTCAGGAAGAGACTCTGGCCTGCAGCTCCCTGATTTACAGGAGGCAGGCTGTGTTTGCGTAGGATCTACCAGAACGGGGTTGTGGGCCATCTGGGAGTGCCAGTGCGATTTCTCACACCTCCTTCTCAGGGCAATGTGAGCAACAGCAGGGTGATGGGGGGGTGACAACGCAGGGCTGGAGGCACCCAGCTCTAGGAGGGGAGAAACCTAGGCTGCCTGGACTGGGAAGGGAAGGCCCCACTGCTGTGACCTAGATTTAGATGATGGGCCACTACATCCCTGCGCAGCAGTTTGCGCAGCAGTTCGCGCAGAAGGGCGCCAGAAGGCAAAGAAGGCACCTCTCCATTTTGCACATTTTGCACAGTGGTGTGTCCTTCCCCAGGGCATGGTCATGACACGCCGCAGAGCACATTCCCCAGTGGCTGCGGGAGGTGCGGCATTGGCTGTGTCTGAGGCCTCAACCTAGACAGACCCTCAGACAGCAGATGCAGCTCTGCAGGTGTCGGGCTGCAGGGAGTGCCTGGGGCCTCTCTGTGGGGACTGGGCTGACAGTCAGCTCTCCTGTGTGAGGTGTGCTCTGGTTGACCAGTTGCATCACCAGATAAAGGAGTTACGGGAGGAGGTTAGTAGGCTGCGTAGCATCCGAGAGGATGAGCGGGAGATTGACAGGGCGTTCTCGGAGACTGTGCAGCTCC